TGTGCCCCATCCCTTCTCTTTCTCCAAAAGTTTTTCACTATCCTGACTTTTAAGGTAATTCTTTTCTTCTATTTCTTAGAGCATTATTACCAACTTGTATATTCTTAGACTCTATGATTGAGTTTAGTTTTGTCCATCCAAAAGAAGTTTACATGTCTTTTAAGTCTTTCAATTGACAGGTTGCTCTTCTGCTCTTTTTTTTTTTCTTTCTCTTGTAATTTGTTGATGAACCCTGGCCATTTGATCTTTTAGACTTTCCCATTGTTTGGATTTTGCTGATTGCAGGAGGCACATTTAAAGTGTTCCTTTGCCCTGTGTATTCCTGTAAATTGGCAGACCAGAGGCTCACTCAGACTTATTGGTTCCCTCTGGCAAAACTGTAGATATTCTTCCATGGTGCCTGTTTTTTTTTTTTTTTCCACTTTTTTGGAGGTAAGCAGACACTGATGTTGAATACTGACATCTTTTGTTTATTGAGGTTTGTAAAACTGTCACTTTAATTCTGTCATTTTGTTTTCATTTTTACCTGGAATAATCTTATCTACTATTTGGTTACCCTGTGGTAAAAAACTGCTGTTGCTTTCCTTTACTCGTCAGGATAATGAGTTTTTCTCAGAAAGTAACCAATTAGCTTTTTTGTTGTTGTTATGTTGTGATGAACTTATAGACCTAAATACATTTGATTCATTTCTATTCGTTGTCTTGTTTTATTAAAAAGTTTAAATTGCCTCTTTGGTTAGTTGGCACAATGGTCTTTTTGATGTGACCCTAGTCATCCTTGCAATCTTCCTTGCTATCTAGTATGTCAGGATGTTCCAGACTTATCTTGCACATTTTCTTCCCTGGACCTTGTAATTAGCTACTCAGTGAAAAACTTAGTTTTAAATACACAGTGACACAAAAACGCATTCTTGAAAAACCGTGAATGGACCGGATCCTTTCTTTAGTCTTCCTCTACCTAGAGGTAATCCCTGTTATTATTTGGTTAACTGTCTTTACAAACCTTTTCCAATGAATTTTTGTTTATATATAGAAATAAGTACAATACAGAAATGTTTTTTAAATGTGATTTTTTTCCTAACTTGAAAAATTAGGAATTGACAATCATAAATGATATTTATACTTACTTTTTTAAAAAGATTTTATTTATTCATGAGAGATACAAAGAGAGGCAGAGACATAGAGGGAGAGGCAGGCTTTCTGTGGGGGAGCCCGATGTGGGACTCTATCCCAGGACCCCAGGATCATGACCTGAGCTGAACGCAGACACTCAACCACTGAGCCACCCAGGCGTCCCTATACTTACTAACTTTTTAATTCAATGATATATCTTGATAATTTTTCTGTTAGTATACAGTACATTCTTTTCATTTATTTTTAAAAAAAGATTTTATTTATTTATTTGAGAGAGACAGAGAGAACACCAGCAGGGGGAGTGGCAGAGGAAGAAGCAGACTCCCCACTGAGCAGGGAGCCTGACTGAAGGTCAAACCAGGACCCAGGTTCACAACCAAAGGCAGATGCTTAACCAACTGAGCCACCCAGGCTGCCTCCGTAGTACATTCTTTTTAAACTGGTACCTAGTATTTGGTATGGTTCCACCTCATTTTATTAAACTCTTCTCGTGATATATATTAGATTGTTTCTAGTTTTTCCACTAATACAACTCTTGCTTTTTATGTGCACAAAATGCAGATATTTGTTTGGAGTCATAGAATATGTGCATTTAGAATTTTGCCAGTGTGTCCTCTGAAGTGCTTGTTCTTCCACAAGCAATCTGAGAATACCTGTTTCTCTACCACTTAGCAAGATTGCTTTTATGAAATCTTGCCAGTCTGAAGGTAAAATATTTCCTTGATTTCCCAGTACCTTTCTGGGGTGGGAACAGGGAAGAATAGGAGGTGTTCTCAGGTGAGGGCTACAGCAGATCATCTGGTTGCAGAGGTTTCCCTTCTCTTGGGGTCCACTGCCTTTCACACACTGCTGGCTGCTCCAGCAGGGACTTAGACAGAGCTGCTGCTCCATGCCTCATTCCACAGCCTGGCTTGTGCTCCTGATGACCTAGCTGGTTTTATCATCTTTTGTGTGTCATTCAGCTTTCAGGGTCTGCCACTTCTTTGGCTGTCTTCCTCCACTCTCTTTGCACCCTCTTTGTGGCATTCTCTTGTACATTTATTTTGGTATGCAGTTTTATTTTCCTACATTATTCAGTCTTCTTTCCATCTTTTTTCAATTTCTGTAAGTCCAAGGGCTACTGTTAACAATGAGGTATTAGAAAGTATCTTTCCTGTCATTTCTCAGATTTAGAGTAGGAGCAGGAGACTGCACTTCGTTTGCTGGAACCCTAGTCTCATTTTAAATATCAGGGTAAAGGCAGGTTTCACTAACATTGTCATATAGCAGTATCAAGACTTTGCAGAGTTCCAGCCTAACTTTTTGATGATTACCACAAATCTGGTCTGCTATTTCAGTTAAAAAGCTCATTTAGTCTTCTTTTAAAAACCTTAATTTGGGGGAATCCCTGGGTGGCTCAGTGGTTTAGCACCTGCCTTTGGCCCAGGGCGCAATCCTGGAGTCCCGGGATTGAGTCCCACGTCAGGCTCCCAGCATGGAGCCTACTTCTCCCTCCTCCTGTGTCTCTGCCTCTCTCTCTCTCTCTCTCTCTCTCTCTCTCTCTCTCTCTGTCTATCATAAATAAATCTTAAAAAAAATAAAAAGCCTTAATTTTACAATCACAATCAGTGCTTTTTTGGTCTCTTACTTTATTCTCCTTTCCACTATATTAAAAATGGATACATTTTGATCCTGTCAGTACTTAATAGGTAATGTTTATCGTTACTCATGTACCAGGCACTGTGTTATGTGCTTTCTTGGATTATTCTTCATCTTTACCACATTTTTGTATCCATGAGGTATAGGTACTTTTATTATCCCTACTTTTACAGAAGAGGAAATCTGAGTACTAAGAGGTTAAGGAATGCTTGCCCAAGGTGACATATTAATGCAGCCAAAACTTAAATCCAGGCAGTCTGACTCCAAAATACTGGTCTTAAGGTCTATGCTAAATATTCCTATTTAGTTGCCATCATCCCAGCTGAGTGGTTTCATAATATTGACAGGTTCATTATGATTGCTATAGGAATTTTCCACACAGTCCTATTAGGATCGAATAGTAAGCTGTATTTCTAAAAATTCTTCATTTTCTTTTCTCAAGTTTTATCTCTTGGGACCACTGTTCTTAGATGTGAAACTAGAGTTTATTCAGATGACCAATTTCGTCAGTGCTTTTGTATAACAGCATCATTTCACAGTTTATTTTCATCATGTCTCAGCCTATTAGAAATGCTGTATATTTATGTTTTTGTGCAGTTAAAAACATACGTGGTGATCTTAAAGATTGAATAATTATGCCTCAATGTTTGAGTTCTGTTGTTACCTTTTAAGGGAGGACAACTTAGTTATTAAGCAGTAGGAATATCATTGTTTCTTCTAGACAGTATGTTACCTGATTCCAGCTTATCTGGGCATTTTGGGATCAGAAACAAATGGCAGGAGTGCTGAGAATATCAGGAGTGGATGTTTTCCTGGTGCTGAGCAAGGAAAATAGGATTTGGTCACGAAAAAAAATTTAGGTAACCAGATTTTCCAAATCTTCAGATGTATCACATTCTTGACTGATTCTTATTTGGTCTAGGCAAAGTTAAAAGGAAAAAAGCCCCGATGTGTTTCAAATAGATAACATTGGTTAAATCATTATTTCACCAGATTTGATTTGGGTTTAGGAAGGAAGTAATGGAAGATGAATAGAGTAAATGAGCTCACTGTGTGTAACCTTAGAGAAACTCATTGTTTTTATTAGTAATAACAAAATGTAGACTTTGTATCTGAGATGTTATCACTGACAGAATTACCATACCCATATTAATTCATATACAAAAATCTTTTCCCAGACTATCCAGATAATTAAAGGAAGAATGAAAGAGGACTGGAGGGATGATGTGGAAGCAAGGAGGGACAATATTCGAAAGTCTTTATACCCTATTATAAAGAACAAGAAGCTTTTACGATGGAATGATGATAATATATTTTCTGTTGCCATTTTTATAAAATAATTATTTAGAGAAAAAAACATTTTAAAATGAGGTGAAAGATTGCCTGTAGGAAGGTACACCTTCAACTGTGTAATGCTTTGACTTGAGCTTTAGTCCTGGAGCCAGAAATTCCCAACTTAGGACCAGACTGATGGTGGCTTTAGGCAAACTACTTTTTTGATGTCATTTTCCTCTTTCTGTAATTAGAAAACCTGATACTAACCTACATTTCTTATCATGATTAAAACTTGCATCACACATAGTGCTTTGGCTAAATAGGAACTTACCAAATGTCATATGAATAATTGCGATGATTTTAGATTCCTTTGCAACTGTAAAGAAATGTGAAAATACTAAAACAGAGAAATACCTTTGTGTTTGAATGGAAAGCAACTCAGTGGCTTTAGCAGATCTCTTAGAGAACAACAGCTATTAGTCCCTTCAGTGAGTGATAATATATAAAATGTACCTTTGAGGAATGCATATTGTCAAATCACTATCGGCATACTTGTAATGATTCAGACTGAATTCTCAGACCAAATTGTCTAATAATAGATTTTTTGGCAAGTGAAATTCAAATATTCTTAACCAGCAGTATTCAGGTCTTAAATTGATGGTCTCACGTCTACTTTAAAATTAAAGAAATGTCATCTTAGTATCAATGTAATCAAATGTATTAATGTAACAATCAAAGCTTTTATTTATTAAAATGTTATCTAATGAGTATATTAACTGTCATAAATATTCAGCTCTGATATGAAAAAATTATTTTTAAGCATCAAGCTGGCATTGACCTTTATAATGCCTTATAATTTGATTAAACCGATAGAATAAGCAGCCATATTTTTGGCATTTTTCCATAGATAATTTGTATTCTCAATATTTTTTTTTTATTATACCTCGTTTTAGTGATCGTGGTGGAGAAGACCCAAACCAGAAAGTAATCCATGGGGTTATTAACTCCTTTGTTCATGTTGAACAGTATAAGAAAAAATTCCCCTTAAAGGTAAAAATAAAAAGCCTCCTTTAAAAACATAATCAGTCCTTTAATTTCTTAAACTACTTTTTCCTAATTTTTAAAATATTATTTTAATTGATTTATATAGTTTTATCAGGAAATCTTTGAGTCTCCCTTTCTGACTGAAACAGGAGAGTATTACAAACAAGAAGCTTCGAATTTATTACAAGAATCAAACTGCTCACAGTATATGGAAAAGGTAAGAAGGAACGTATTATGTTAAATGCATCATCTCTTACATATCAGGCATGGTTTTATTTAATATTTGTTTTCTTAATATATTTCTTTGGTGAGTTGTGTTTTTTTTTTTTTTTTTTTTGATCATTACTCTGAGTTGTAGCTAATGTACACTACCTATTGATAAATCGGGGCATTCTCCATGAGAAAAAAATTCTATCCAATTTTCATCATGGTTGATACTTCTTGATAAATCCTGATTGCTTGATTTTCTTGTCTTTAAAATTAATATTCACATTCTTGGCAAAAGAATAAACTATATTTTAATTTAGTTAGATGTTTAAGGAATAGGACAAGCATAGAAGCTAGGTGTGTTTGGGTTTTTATCTTTCCTTCTTTTCAAATGGAAGGAAAAATATAATAATTCTAAATCCTTGGATCAGTTACTCTCTTGGTCTGTTCAGTTTTTGGAAGACTGAGAAAAACCTCCACAAGAAATTTTAATTAATCTGTAAACCAACACATATTGATTAGTATTTTTAAATTTTTCTATTTTTTGTTTGTTTTTGTTTGTTTGTTTTTGTTTTTAGTAAAGGAATAGTCATGTAATAAAGTCAGTTACCATATAAGATGTATGAAATTTTTAGCCAGGTTTTTTCATTTGTGGTGTTGAGTTCCAAGCATTTTATTATAGAATGATTTTTGGTAGTTTATTTAGCCAAGAAGATAATGTGTTACAAGTAGAATAGTTATAGAGTGGCCTCCATAAGTCACAGGTCAAGAAATATCAGTACTTACTGATACATTGTTATATATTCCACAAAGCCCAGGTATAAAAGTCTGAGTTGTTTAATTTTCTTCCTGCTGTTGTTACTAATTAGCTATAGGACCTCCAGTAGGCCCTGTAGGACATTTTTCTATATCTATTAAGTGCAGGTTACATACACCAAGTCAGTGGTTCTTAGCTTTAGGCCATTTTTTTGCTTCTTAGACTCCTGTTAAAGGTTCTAGATCCACTATTGAAAAGTGCACTGGGATTATCAGTGATACATACCCTCCTTGTTATATTTGGCTCTCAAAAAGAGGCTCTTTTCAAAAATATTGTATGTTCCACTTATAGAACCATATAATGTCTAGAATATGGACTCCTGACTCTAATTCCTCTTACATTTAGTTAAGCCATAAACATTAAAGTTATAGTACACTATAATGACTAATAGGCATAGTCCTTTTAAGGGATATTTTTATTTTAAAAGAAAAACTTTTTGATAAAAATGACTTTCTTGGTTGATTAAATATGTGCTGAACATCTTTTAGTCCACATACTTCCTTTTGGTTTCTGTGGCTTTGCCCTGGACTTTTGGCTCCACAGGGGAGCAATGTAGGAAAGATGGGACCCTCTCTTCAGTCTTTGCCTCATTTTCTAAAAGGTATCTGAGAGTTATTCAGGAGCGATGTGTTATTTCCCCTCTCAGCATCACTTTCCTTCCCAGTATCACCTTCTGATGCCCAGATAAACTTGGCAGTACTCCCCAAAGGCTTATTATACAGTTTTCTGGAACCATTTAAGCTCAGAAACTCCAGTTACAATAGTTTCACATTGCAGAACGCTTTCGAAGTCTAAACATTTGTATGTGTCTGTATGTGCTAGGATTTTTATTGCAAATGTAATTTTGTTTTGAGGTAGAAATGGCTAGATTCTCTAGCTATTAGTCTTTATTAGCTGGTTCTTGTTAATGTCAATCAGTGTATTGTTTGTAGACCAGTGTTTCTTATATAGGATAAGCTTTACTAAAGCTCTTGATTGACATCTTTAACTATGGCTGAATATATTTGACTTTCAGAAATTTTAATGAAGTCTTTAATTTGATAATTCTCATGTACATACTGTTTATATTTACATTTTATAAGAAGAGGGACCAACATAAAATAATTAAATTAATGTACTTGATCCAGTTGATGTAAACTATTTTTTAGTTTGATAGTTAAATATTCATAAAGTGACCACCTGTTCTGGTTTTTAATAATTTTTACCACTTTTCCTGTTGCATGTTGGGTTGTTTATATAATAGGATGATTAGAGTCAGTAAATGAAAACAGAATGCAGACCACTTAACTTTAGTTCGTGTTCGTAAGATTTCGGTAAAATGTAGGTGATAGATATTAGCCTAAATAAATATTTGAAATGATTTATGAAATGTGGGTTTAAATTGGTTATGTAATTCTTGTTACCTGGCTATTTTTAATTGAGCCATTAAAATTAGATTACCTAAATTATTTACTGATATTACAGGTTTTTCCTCATAGTGGGTCATGACTATAAGAATATATTTTTAAAGGTTCTAGGTAGATTAAAAGATGAAGAAATTCGATGTCGAAAATACTTGCATCCAAGTTCATATACTAAAGTGATTCATGAATGTCAGCAACGAATGGTAGCAGACCACTTACAGTTCTTACATGCAGAATGTCATAATATTATCCGACAAGAGAAAAAAAATGGTAAGTGATATGAAATAGTAAATGTGAATAGAAACTAAATTAGAAACCCACTTTCTACATCATCTCCAAGCTTTCTTAGAAATCAAACATTAAGAAAAAAAAGGAATTCAAACATTTTTAGTAGTAGTCTCTCAAATACTCAATATGCCTTTTTACCAATTCTTAATAATCTATTTTAAAAGATTTTTTTGGAAAGATATGTTTTCAAAAGGTATTCCAAAGTCAAAAGCTAGGAAAAAGTGCACATTTTTTATATATCACAAGGGCTAATTTCCTTAATATATTAAGAGTTTCTAATAAATAGAAAAAAAAACAAAGATGAAAAAGAAATATAAATTGATTTTAAATATATGCAGATGCTCAATCTTATTCAAAATAGAGGAAAATACAAAATAAAGATATGAGATTCTAGTCATGAGCAGTAAAAAAATGGAATTTTTTTTTAAAGAAGAAAGTATTGTCACACAACGGGGAATAACAAGGAATAAACATAACGAGATACATGCCAGACCTACACAGAAAAAAAAAAAAAACATTGTTGAAAGCAACATTGGTTTATAGATCCAGGAGAATCTACTCAAAACTGAAGTGTTTTTGTTTGTTTGTTTTAATTCTGAAGGTTAAACTCTTAGACTAAGAGTCTAAGAAAAGTCAAGACAGTTTTGAAGACCATTATGAGAAGACTTTGCAGGATAGCGTGACTAAAACCACAGTAGTGAGGACAATGAGGCCCTGGCGTGAGGGTAGACAAATAGACCAATGGACTAAATTAAAACAGAGCCGAGAAGTAAACCCTACAGAAATCCTTGGCTTAAGCCCATTGTGACATTGTAGAGCAGTGGGTGAAGGATAGTCTTTTTAACACATAGTGCTGAATCCACTGGATATACACTTGGGAAAAAAGCAAAATTTGATCTCTACCTCAGACACCATATACAGAATCAATCAATACATTGTAGGCTTTTGACCTACATGTAAAACAGGAATACTTCAAGAAGATGTTATAGGAGAATAACCTCACAACCTTGAGGTAGGGACAGATATTTTAGATGAGACACAAAAAACACTAACCACAAAGGAAAGATTGATCAAGTGGACTACATTAAAATTAAAAACTTTGGATCCTTAAAAAACCATTAAAAGTATTAAAAGATAATCATAGGGTAGCCTTAAAATACCATTAAAAGTATCAAAAGATAATCATAGGGTAATATATTTGCAATCTCTAAAAACGGTTTATGTCCAAAATATAAAATGGTCAGGAAATTTGAATAGATACTGCAGGGTAGAGTATATCCAAGTGGCCAGGAAACTTATACAAAGGCCCTCGATCTTATTAAAGTAGGGGAATGCAAATTAAAAGCCACACTAAGATATCAGTACTCACATTTTGATATAAAATTTAAAAGACCAAATATACTAAGTGTTGGGAAGTGTGTGAAATAGCGAGAACTTGTTATGTACCCTGAGCTCAGAGTATAAATTGATGCAACTACTTTGAAAAACCAACATTGACTCTTAAAGCTGACTGTATGCACATCTTGATCCAACCATTCCTCTCCTGGATGTATAATCCCCCACCCAAACTGCATGCAGATATGTATAAAAAGGAACAAAAATGTTCATAGCAGCCTTAATTGAGTTAGCTCCAAACCAGAAACAACACAAATGTCCAGTAATAGTAGAATAAAGTACAGTATACTCCTACAATGGAATATTATTAGAGGAGTGAAAATGAACATATTACAACTACATACAAAATGTAGATGAGCCTTATAAACCTGTTGAACAAAAGAAACTAAACATGAAGGAATTGTATGATTCCATTTTTATAAATAGTTCAAAACAGACAAAGCTAATCAGTGGGTTGGTAGGTCATGACAGTGGTTACCTTTGCAGAAGAGCAAGAGGAGTAGTGATTGGGAAGAGTTATGAAAGGAACTTCTGGGTGTGGAGAATGTCTTTTCTTACTCTGGGGGTGATAACATGGGTATGTATGTGTTCACTTACGATAATTCATTGAGATACACATTCGGGGGGGGATTTGTACACCTTGTCTATGTATGTTATATTTCAAGAAAAAATTTAAAAAGCATTGCACTGAGACATGATTTTCAGCTCTCAATGGGAAAAACCAAATGTCTGATGACTCGTTGTTGCCAAGAGAACTTCCTGGTATTGGGAGCTATGTTACAAGGATCTGCCTATAAGATGAAGCTTTAACTCAACAGTTCCACTTCCAGGGATTTATACTACAGATATTCTTGCCTATATACAGAAATATTAATTGTAATATTGTAATATCAAGAGATTGGAAACAACCAAATTTTCATCAATTTTTAAGAAATTGTAGTATAGCCATATAATGAGGTGTTATGCAGTTGTAAAATACACTTTATGTAATGATATAAAGAGATGTCTAAGTTAAAATGTTATGTTCTTCAATTGCAAATAATACATAAAATATGCTACACTATTTGTATTAAAAGGGGCAGAAGGAAAACAGTATGTGTGTGTTTGAATATGCATGAAACACCTTTGAAATGGTATTGACTACAATATTGCTTTGGAGAGATGGGTGCAGGGAACCTTCTCTGCATTCTCTTGTAATTCTGCATTTTGAACTGTATATTACCAAATACATTAAAATATTTTTTTTAACTCTTTGGAAATTCAATAATCAAATTTCTTTTTTTCTTCAGACATGGCAAATATGTATGTCTTACTTCGTGCTGTGTCCACTGGTTTACCTCATATGATTCAGGAACTGCAAAATCATATCTATGATGAGGGGCTTAGAGCAACCAGTAATCTTACTCAGGAAAATGTGAGTTACATAAGGAACTGGATATTTTTTTCTCTTAATCAGATTATCGTGGAGTTTTTCATATGATTTTACTGTTTTAAACAATGACAGAAAAGTCCTACCATTACAAACGAAACATCTTTATTAAAATGTTTTATACTTGCAGTTTGTTGGCCTCATTTTAGAATTTTCATATTATTAGAAAATCATTGATTGAGATAGGCTGCTTCTTAGTCATATTGATATGTTCATTTAGCAGTTGTTTAACTTCTCTCAGAAAAATACTTTTGCTATTTCTAAATGTAATTGGCATTAATAGTTGTGATGGTCATAGTGTTAATCAGTGGTAATAATAGACAACTTACAATTTATTTTCTTTATATATGCTTTGAATTTGGTAGTCCAGGAAGCAAATTTAAATTAAAAGAGTCTTCCCTAGCCCTGGCCCGAGTCTGAGCCCTGGCCTCCCGAGTTGCTCTCTGGCTCTCCAAGCAGCATGAGGTTCACCACCCGCTCCACCTTCTCTTCCAACTACCGGTTCCTGGGCTCCGTGCAGTCACCCAGCCACCGGGTCAGGCCCATCAGCAGCAGCGCGGCCACCATCTATGCAGGCGTGTGGGGCTCAGGCTGCCGGATCTCCGTATCCCGCTCCACCAGCTTCCGGGGCGGCTAGGGGTCTGGGGGCTGGGCTGTGGGGATGGCCGGGGGTCTGGCAGGCATAGGGGGCATCCAGGGTGAGAAGGAGACCATACAAGACCAGAATGACCACCTGGCCTCCTACCTGGAGAGGGTGAGGAGCCTGAAGGCTGATAATCAGAGACTGGAGATGAAAATCTGGGAACACCTGGAGAAGAACAGCCCCCAGGTCAGAGACTGGGGGCATTACTTCAAGACCATTGAGGACCTGAGGGCTCAGATCTTTGCAAGTGCTGTGGACAATGCCCGCATTGTTCTGCAGATTGGCAATGCCCGGCTTGCTGCTGACGACTTCCGCGTCAAGTATGAGACAGAGCTGGCCATGCACCAGTCTGTGGAGAGCGACATCCATGGGCTCCGCAAGGTCATTGATGACACCAATGTCACTTGGCTCAGCTAGAGACAGAGATTGAGGCTCTCGAGGAGCTGCTCTTCATGAAGAAGAACCATGAGGAGGAAGTAAAGGGTCTACAAAACCAAATCGCCAACTCTGGGTTGACGGTGAAGTTGGATGCCCCCAAATCTCAGGACCTCAGCAAGATCACAGCAGATATCCGGGCCCAGTATGATGAGCTGACTCAGAAGAACTGGGAGGAGCTGGACAAGTACTGGTCTCAGCAGATCGAGGAAAGCACCTCAGTGGTCACCACACAGACTGTTGAGATTGGAGAAGCTGAGATGACCCTCACGGAGCTTAGATGTACTGCCCAGTCCTTGGAGATCAACCTAGACTCCATGAGAAACCTGAAGGCCAGCTTGGAGAACAGCATGAGGGAGGTCAAGACCCGCTACACGATGCAGATGGAGCAGCTCAACGGGGTCCTGCTGCAGTTGGAGTCAGGGCTGTCCCAGACCTGGGCAGAGAGGCAGCGCCAGGCCCAGGAGTATGAGGCCCTGCTGAATGTCAAGATCAAGCTGGAGGCTGAGATTGCCACCTACTGTCGCCTGTTGGAAAACAGGAGGACTTCAGTCTTACTGACGCCCTGGACAGCGGCAACTCTGCAGACCATCCAGAAGAGCACCACCCACAAGATCGTGGACGGCAAGGTGGTGTCTGAGACCAACGACACCAAAATTCTGAGGCATTGAGGCAGCAAAACGGGGTACCCTTTGAGGAGCAGGAGGCCAATTAAAGGTTCAGAAGTTAAAAAAAAAAAATCTTCCCTACATATATGCTTGCTACCCAAAATACCCAGCAATGATCCTCATATCCATAATACTTGTCTTTCTGAAGAGTTCCCTGGCAATCAAATGACTATATATACAGCAAGGTATCTTTCCTCTCAAAATGTGTTACTGTCATCAAATCATGTTGGATCACCTTCTCTGTTATTACTAGGGATGGTTTAACGAATAAGATAGACATGACGTGAAATGTTACTACTCTTCCTGAAGTAGAGCTTTGGCTCTTCATTTGCAGTAATTTCTGTACAAACATCATTGTTCAGGAGCATTTATTAACTGCTGATCATTTCAGTGAATTTTATTTTCTGACACAATAATGCATAAGTAAAACCACTAGTTTATATTATTAGTTTTTTAGGTTCAGGGTGTTGAATGATACCTGGCAAAGAGGCATAGACTTGTCAAGGATAGAGTGGGGAGGGGGATGGAAGTATAAGAGAATATGTTTGTAGTAGACCCAAATAATTTTAGTTGGCATAATTCCCTCCATTAAGTTCAAAAGCTCACTTTTGCACTGCTAGATACTTTTTTTTCCCTCTGATATATGGGGGGTTGTACTGCTTAGTTTAGAGATCTCTCTTTTCACAGATTCTGGCTTTTTAACTCTTCTTTCTCTCTCAGCCTTCAGTAGCTTTGGAGGCAGTTTTTGTTTATGTAATCATCTATGAAAGAATAGGCCTGGTAGTTCAGAGGCTGTATCTTGTTACTCTGAATATAATGGCATTTCAACAGAGAAAGTTGTTTTTAGTGGATCCTTCTGGCAGAAGTACTCCAATCCTGCATTTCTGGTGTTGAGTGACAAGCTAATTTCAATCTTAAACTTTTAGATTTTTAAGGCCATCTTATCTAAAAACATTTTTGAGGGTGTGTGTGTGTGTATAACATTAATCTGCTTAGGGAAAATGTTATGCATAATTAAACAATTCTTTAATAAGCCTAATTTTATCCTTAAACTTCTTAAAATGTGATTTGTACTTTCTATTTCATACTTTTAGATGCCAACACTATTTGTGGAGTCAGTTTTGGAAGTACATGGAAAATTTGTTCAACTTATAAACACTGTTTTAAATGGTGATCAGCACTTTATGAGTGCATTGGACAAGGTAACTTTTTTATATGTATATATAATTCTTTATATGTATATATAATTCTCTTTAATCACTATTCTTTAGGCAGTTTCAAAATTAGGGCTTCTAATTGTGTATATGATTTCTAATTTAGACAAAGTCAAAATAGAGAACTTTTCGATTAATAACTGGTTAAATGGATTGCTTGAATTATATGGGGATTGAATTTCCCATGTGTATGCTACATAGGGGAAATGGCTAATAAGCTAATGTCTTCTAAAAATGCATGTATAGGGATCCCTGGGTGGCGCAGCGGTTTGGCGCCTGCCTTTGGCCCAGGGCGCGATCCTGGAGACCCAGGATCGAATCCCACATCGGGCTCCCAGTGCATGGAGCCTGCTTCTCCCTCTGCCTGTGTCTCTGCCTCTCTCTCTCTGTGACTATCATAAATTAAAAAAAAAAATTTAAAAATGCATGTATAGGGACGCCTGGGTGGCTCAGTTGTTGAGTGTCTCTGTCTTTGGCTCAGGGTGTGATGCTGAGATCCTGGCATGGAAAAAATAAAATATTTTTTTAAAATGCATGTATAGTTTTAATATTCTTTAGTGTTGATTTTTTCTTTAAATATAGTACTTAGGCTACTATACTGAATAATATTTGAAAGAAAAATAAATAGGTTTTATAAACTTTTGGATTTTGGTACACTTTAAAGGAAATTTGTTTACATGGTCATTAGAAGATTTTTATTTTATTTTATTTATTTTTATTTATTTTTATTTTTTAAAGATTTTATTTATTCATGAGAGACAGAGAGAGAGAGGCAGAAACACAGGCAGAGGGAGAAGCAGGCTCCATGCAGGGAGCCTGATGTGGGACTTGATCCCCGATCTCCAGGATCATGCCCTGGGCTGAAGACGGCGCTAAACCGCTGGGCCACCATGGCTGCCCCATTGTAAGATTTTTAAAAGTGTAGTCTTATCCATGTTCAAATACTAGTAATGAATTATAGAGAATATCTTTCAGTGGGAGCAGTATTTATAATTTTTATGTAATTCTCATTAGGGATGCAGTGAGAAATTTATTCTGCATTAAATATGAAAACAGGAATGCTGTGTTTTGTGTGAGGTAGTAATTTTCGGATAAACAGATTATAGCATACTATATTGAATCAGCTGCACTTTTACCCTATTACTGGGGTCTAATTACTGATCTGTTTTCTTACTTAGGCCCTTACATCAGTTGTAAATTACAGAGAACCCAAGTCGGTTTGCAAAGCACCTGAACTGGTAAGTTTGATGGTTGCTTAAAAATTAATCTTATGGAAAATTAGTATTAGAAAACTGAGGAGAGTGTCAAATTAATTTGGTTTTGTAGTATCTTTCAGAAAAATAGATGAAGTTAAATTATTAAAAATAAAAGCAAGGATGTCTATTGTGTATGATTTGTCATTTATTTAAGGAATGCAGACAGCCATATATGAAAGCCTTTTTTAAAGGGATAACTGGCAGGGAAAATAACTCCATTTTACAACCTTTGCTCTTTAAAGTACATGCACTTTGAAACAATTTGCATTACTTCTCCTAGGGATTTTATTTTATCTAAAATCTAAAGGAAATTGGCTGGTAAATTTTTGATAGCCGTTAAAGGAAACTTGTTTACAAGGTTGTTGCAAGATTTTTAAAAAGTATTTTCTTAATGTCAAAAATACCAGAGCCTCTCAAAACTCATCTAGGTGTTCTTTTGAAACTTATGTTACTTAAATCAATGCTTTATTGGTCTCTACATGTTGATTAGATATTTTTACTTATTTCTAGTTTTTTTTTAATACTTACCTTATGGCATATTTTAAGCTTTTTGGTGCATGTTCATAATTTTTAAAACATACACTTAAGTATGGCAAAGACCCTGTCCATTGATCTTATTTTGTATTGTTGCCACTTTGCCTCCTTTGAGGCATGATATGTACAGAAAGGCCCTTTCTAAGATTTACTGTCAATTTCTACTTGAGCTTGCTAAGTACTGTGACAACTTATTAAAGAAGTCAGCGAAGGGGATGACTGAGAATGAAGTAGAGGACAAACTCACGAGCTTCATTACCGTTTTCAAGTATATCGATGATAAAGATGTTTTTCAAAAGGTAAGTTGTTAACAGAGAAGTTTTATTTGTGTTTTAGTCAGCTTTGATTTAGTTTTGAACTTCAAATCATCAGAAAGGAAATAATCTTTAAAAAATTTTTTTAATATAGTTCTACGCAAGAATGCTGGCAAAACGTTTAATTCACGGGTTATCTATGTCTATGGATTCTGAAGAAGCCATGATCAATAAATTAAAGGTAATTTAAGCCTTTATCTGATAATGTCCTAAAATTATCCCACTAGCACAGAAAGATACTCATAGCAGCATTATATGTGGTAATGAAATAAATATTTCATCAATAGGTAACTGGTTAAAATATAAAATACATATTCATGTGGTATGTGCAAATACTATATTGAAAGCACAGACTCTCTCTGCATATTAATTTAGAATCACCCACAAGATATAAATAGTGTTAACTTTACAAAAAATTGTATTACTTGTAAATGAATACACCTAAATTATTCTTTTAAGTACAAGTTTTGGAGTGCAGTTGAATTTCAGTTCATTTTTACATCATTTTAGTGTATAGTGTATACACCAGTGAGATAAGTAGTAACTGATTCATATTTATCCTGGGTTACTTAGTAGTTGATAATTCCTGCATGCTAAACATTGAATATACTATGTGATCCTTTTTACATATATCAATCAATAAATAACTTTTGATTTTTAAAAATAGTGTTAACACAAAGCATTTTACATCCCAAGATTAGATCCAGATTTTCTGTCATGGTGAGAACAGAGTTTTGAATAATTTCTTTCCTTTTTTTTTTTTTGAATAATTTCAAGGAAGTAGATTTCTTCATTATTCAGGGGGTGCTATTAAAAATATGCCTAAGTACCCTCCTTTTTAAATTGACTACTGGCTCAAATATGCCCAGTCATCTTTCATGTGTGTTTGATACTATATGTAAACCTTATAAGGTATCTTACATACAGTAATGGAGCATTTTGTAGTGTTGAAATAAGACATAATGGAGCATTTTGTAGTGTTGAAATAAGACACATGGATTTATACAAAAGTTTTTGTTTTAAAGGGAAATTCATTTTTCATAAATCTGTGTATTCTACATTGATAAAAATGTTTTATTGAAGTATTTTGTTTTGAATAGCTGCTTTGGATTATGAAAAATATAGGCCTTTGGTGTAAATATATAAATAGGACCTTTGACCATAGACTTGTCAGTAGCAACACAGTCTTAATAATGAATATGGTTTTTTATTTTTTTCTTTTTAAATCGTATATTTTTAAAAACTATTTTTTTTTTTTTTTTACAGCAAGCCTGTGGTTACGAGTTTACCAGCAAGCTGCATCGGATGTATACAGATATGAGTGTCAGTGCTGATCTCAACAATAAGTTCAACAATTTTATCAAAAACCAAGACACAGTAATAGATTTGGGAATTAGTTTTCAAATATATGTTCTACAGGTATGAGTATGTGTTCCTTTGAAGGCATTTGCTAACCATTTCAAATACTCTGATGCAAAGGATTAATGAATGAATGGATGCCGATTACATTTCTTTCATTCAGTGGATGGTAGCTTCTAAAGTTATGTTGTTATATTGATTTGGAATGAAATGTGTCATGATAGAAATGTTGATTTTGAGGAAGGTGAAAAAAAAGGTGCTTTAATTGCTTAAATCATTTTACAAATATTTACTTTTAAGTTAGATATTTATCTCTTTTAACTTTGTTCTAGGCTGGTGCATGGCCTCTTACTCAGGCTCCTTCATCCACATTTGCAATTCCCCAGGAATTAGAGAAAAGTGTACAGATGGTAAGTTTGCAGGAAATATGTTAGACCAATAATTGTCTTCATGTTATATTACTTTAAATATTTTCCCAAAGTTTTAAGGGCTCATGTGATATAAAAGTATATTCACAAATTATAGTTAGTCTGCCTGATAGGAAGAATATAAATTATTGTAGTTCCAAATACAAAACTAAAATGCTAAGGACGTCATTCATTTCTTTGTCAAAGTGTGTCTCTTTTATTAAATTTGTTATCTGCTCTTAAGCAGTTTTAATTTACAGAAACTTTGATATTAGAAGTTTAGAACCAAAAAAAAAAAAAACAAACAAAAAAAAAAAAAGAAGTTTAGAACCCAGTACTTAAAAGCAGTCATTTTCTAATTTTTCATTTGAATTTGGAGCCATTTTTGTACCTTCTCTGTGATAGTTTATCCCCTGTAATAGTTATTTTTGTTTCTGGGCTGAAATTTAGGTAAGTATATGGAATGTGAAATAATACAGAAAAAAATGCTTTAAAGTGTGACTAAATATAAACCTTACAGTGCTTACCAAAAAGCTTTTAAAGAGACTGTATATCTTTACAACTTTATTGAAATATAATTAATATACCATATGTCCTACCTATTAATATAATTAATATACCATTTGTCCTATCTAACTAAATACCATAGATTGTGTTGCTATAAATAACAGATTTATTTCTCACAATTCTGGAAGCTGGAAGCCTGAGATCAAGGTGCCAGCGTAGTCAGATGAGGGCCCTCTTTAGGTCACAGACTTCTCTGTGTCCTCATCTGTCAGAAGGGGTTAGGGAGCTCTGTAGGGTCTCTTTTAGGTAAGCATATAACTCCCTCCCCCACTTTTCCCAGCCCTAGCCAATCTGCTTTCTCTATTGATTTGCCTAATCTGGACATCTCACATAGAGTCATATCATTTGTGACTGACTTCATTCACTTAGCATAATGTCAGAGTTCATCCTATGTTGTAGCATGTATCAGTAGTTAATTCCTTTTTATTGCCAAATAATCCATTGTATGGATGTACTACATTTTATTTGTCCTTTTATCAGTTGATAGGCATGTGGGTGTGTTTCTACCTTTTTGGTATATGAATAATGCTGCTATGAACATTCATGTATAAGTTTTTGAGTGGACATGTTTTCATTTCTCTTGAAACTGACCCTTTTTTATTTATTAACTCATCAAAAGAGGTTTCTTCTTGACTGGATGGAAGTTTGGGTAGCATTTTTTTCTAGAGAAATCTTCATTATCAAATTTGAGCAACAATTTGAGGTTGTGAACCAGTGAGTTATGCATACATTATGAAGTTTAAAATGAAAATGGTATTTCATTACTCTGTTCCCTAGAGATGTTTGCAATGGGTAATTCGAGTCCTTCTTTTTTATTATTTTTTTTATTTTTTATTTTTTTAAATTCGAATCCTTAAAAGTAAATTTTTTTTTTTTTCAAAATAAGGATTAAAAAGAAAATAACAGTATAGGCTCTGGAATAGTAATTTCCGGTTTCATATGCCCATTCTGCCATCTACTATGATCTTTGACTTTGGGCAAATAACCTTCTGATATTTTAACTGATAATAGGACTACTCAGAGTGTTGATAAGAAAATAAAATGAAATGTAATATAGCCTGGCATATAGTAAGTACTCAATAAATGGTAGCTGATATAGAAGAAGTAATAGCTTATAGTAGTAGTGATAATAGCAAAGTAGAGTAGTATAAACAACCAGGTAGATTTCAAGATACCAAGCATAACGTAGACCTTCAGACTAGGAGTCTAACTTGAATCTTCTTGAGAAAGGCATAATAGCACAACCATCTTAAAACTATATGAAGGAAAACATTCGTTTAGGTGGGCAGGGTATTATGGATTTTGCAGAAAGGATAGATGAAAGCTAGAGGTAGGAGATGGCATAACTAGCTAAGGCATTTTGGTATATTTGTGATCAGGCAAGAGGAGGAAAACTGATCCCTCACCTTTAACAATATTAAAACTTCATAAGAGTCTGAGTTTTTGAATTGCATTGAGGCAAAGAATAGGGGCTGCCAGAAATAGTTTCCTTCTAACTTTATGTTGTTCTCTCCCCTTGAAATAATTATTTTCCAGTAGTAGTTTTTTTTAACCCTTCAACTTTTATTAATGTATAACTTTCATCAGGTTTCAGTTTCCTCATTTACAAATAAAAGGTGGGTTCTTTTCTGACTATAAAATTATGATTCCAAGAATATTGTCCTCTCCATTTGGGTTTTCTCTAATTACCAGTAGAGGGAGTTTGTTCTTTGATTTTTTTTTTTTTTCCTAGTAAATCCAAGTATTCAGTTACATAGGACTCGAAATCCATATGTACTTAACAGTGTACATTTTTACATGTAAATTAATTCATCTCACCTTAGTGATCATATATATATTTTATATCTTAATCTTAAATATAGCTGTTTTATAAAAATTATTTCATTCACAATTTTTATAAAAAATTATTCATGAATCTTAAAACTATGGAAATTAAGCTTTAATTAAAATAATGTATTAAAAAAACAAAAAAAGTAATTTATTTTGCATATTAGACCAATAAATCTTCATTGTTGTATTTCTTTTGTGCTTGGCCTACAAATCGGAATAATACTGGAGAAATATAAAGTAATGTGTATTAATGCAGCTCTCTATTAGAAGTGAATATGAATTGTTCATTTTTAAGGCCCTTTGAGTTCTAATTAATACCCTCAAATGGTATTTAAAGGATGCTGTCCTATCCTATTATTTATCTTAAAATAAGTGTAGGCAAAATATCTTTTTTACTAATAAACTTTGGTCACATAATTAATGATATAATTAAGGTTTTATAGCCTTGGTCTTTGAATACCAGATGAATTTATAATGTTTCCATTTGATACTCAGTCTTTGTTCTTTACTAGTTATAGATGTGAAAATCTTTATAATCAGATTTTAAATTTAAGGATAAAGGAATGTTTTCTGCTGGCATATCTATATCATTATCAATAAAACTTTACTGGTAGTACTAGTAACTAGAAGTATAGAGGCAAAACATTGCCTTCAGAGCTTGGAATATACATCCTGGAGCTAGTTTTGCACTTAAATAATTTATAAAGAACATTTTAAAGTTTGGTTTTCTCAATTTCAGAATGTTTTATTTTGCTTTTGTCTGCAAATTTATTATAGATGTTTCATAATTAAATTAGGAATTATATAGTTTTAACTGAATTTTATTGACACCCTTGGAGGGTATTAGTGAAAGCCCACTTCTGGGATCCTTTTATGACATGATTTTGACTTTCTCTTTGTCTGTATTAGAACCAGGTAGAAAATCTTAAGTATTTCAGGTGCCAGTCCTTTCCTATTTATCATGCCAGGGGGTTGGTGGATCTGCACCATTGGAGGGAAAGCATGCTCAACAAGTTTCAGCTTCCTAGGATTAGGCAGACTTGGAATGAACTGCTGAAAGAATTCACTGATTCTCTTGGCTGGCAGGTCAAATATTGCTGATTGTTTTATTGAAACTTTGTTATAAGTTATGTTATAATAGCTGAAAATCATTATTTTTTTTCTTTTTTTTACAGTTTGAATTATTTTACAGCCAGCATTTCAGTGGAAGGAAACTTACATGGTTACATTATCTCTGTACAGGTAAAATGCATTTAATTATATCTAGTGTAGTGAAATTTACCTGATAAAAAGGTATGTAAATAATTTAGGAAAAGATTTCTTATAGCCTTATAATAGTTTTTTTTCCTAATGATGGCTTTTAACCTCTTTTCCTCTGTCTACCCTCCTGGTTATCATTAAAGCAACTATTAATGAAGTTCAAGTGCAGCACTTTTTAATAGTGCTTTATAAAATTATGCTGCTTAAATACTGCTTATGAAGAAAATTTCTGAATTTTATAATGTTTTATTACATTTCTGTAACATACCACTTTATCTAGACATTAGAAATTATATCTAGAAACTGAGACCTGACAAGTTAGATACTCCCAAAAAAACTATTTTCTCTAAATATGTCAGAAGTCTTCAGAAATTTCTTTAAACATTATAGCATCATAAAGAGATCTAACCATTTGATTTTTATTTGTTGTGCTGTAGTGAACTTCAGTAGTAAATGCTTTTTTCAAAATTACAATTAATTTCCAGTAGGTTCTAATTTTAGAAAAGTTTATTTAGAATCTGTTCCTTTGCTTCTTTCTGGAACAGTGGGGTCCACTTATTTGACAGTAGGATTAATACTTGAATGATTATAGACTGTGTTGCTCTGGCTCTGAGTTGCCTGAAGATGTTAGGCAAAGCAAACACTCAAAATTCTCTCTACTTTTGTTAAAGCTGTGCTTTGAAAGCATTGAATCAACTTTCCCATTGTATAAGAAGGAAAGGGTATATATCTCTAGAACTGGTATAAGAAAATTTGATCAGTCAGGTGCCATAACCTATATTAGGAAATTCTGTTTACTCACATAAGACAAATTTTGTTACGAAAAGTTTCAGCTGGGTTTCTTATAAGTGCCATTTATTTCACCAATTTATGTTGTATGTTAGGAATACATACTAGTACATAATTAGTACATGATAATACATACTTACACAAGTTTATCTTTATTAAATAAGTTGGGCATTTACATTTTTTCAGCAGTTTGTGAAATAAAGAAGTACGATATTTTTTCCTCATTTCTTTTTTTAAAATTAAAAAAAAAATTTTTAAATTTAAATTCAATTTGCCAACATGTAGTATAACACCCATTGCTCATCTCATCATATGAGGTACAATATTCTTCATAAGTGGTCAGTTTGTACTTGACCTTTAATTTTACATCTATTATGAATTCTTTCTATCATTTAGTAAATATAATGGGGCTTTTTAAAGATATTATTTATTTATTCATAAGAGACACAGACAGAGGCAGAGACATAGGCAGAGGAGAAGCAGGCTCCTTGTAGGTAGCCCAGTGTGGGACTGGATCCCAGGACCCCAGGATCCTGACTTGAGCCAAAGACAGACACTCAACCTCTGAACCACCCAGATGCCCATATAATCCGTTTTAAGGGAAAAAAAAAAAAAAAGCTGCATTGTTCAACCGTGTGTGTGTGTGTGTGTGTGTGTGTGTGTGTGTGTGTGTTTCTTTTATTTGAGAAAGAAAGAGAGCGCATGCACGAGTACGAGGGACAGAGGGAAGGGGAAAGAGACTCTCAAGCAGACTCATTGCTAAGTGAGGAATCTGACACAGATCTCAGTCTCACGACCCTGAGGTCACTATCTGAGCCAAAACCAAGAGTCCAAAGCTTAACTAACTGCGCCACCCAGGGGTCCCACTCAACCAGTGTTTTAGATAACTAAAAAAATTTCTAGTATATCTTAATGTACTTGAATTTTTTTTAAATTTTTATTTATTTATGATAGAGAGAGAGAGAGAGAGGCAGAGACATAGGCAGAGGGAGAAGCAGGCTCCATGCACCGGGAGCCTGACGTGGGATTCAATCCCGGGTCTCCAGGATCGCGCCCTGGGCCAAAGGCAGGGATCCCAATGTACTTGAATTTAATTTATTTTTACTTCCCCTGAATATCTATCTTGGTGGAGTTAAAACTCTCTGTTTTTCTCATCGCCTCAGTAATAACTTGTATCCTAAAGTATTTTAATGAGAGGCTCACTTTTTGGTATTCAGCAACTAATTGTATATAGAAGTAAAGAAACTATATACATAGTTTTTGACATTAGAGTTTGACCAGGAATGTTTACCAATAATGCCTAAATAGGGAATCTATACTAAATTCCCAAGCTGGTCCATAATAACCATATTTTTGGAACTCTTTTGTTTGGGGTGTTTTTATATCTTAAAGCCAAATAGTTTATTCTTCTGGAAAAGAGTTGTTAACCTTGTAAATTCATTTCTTGTTTTGAGTCACTGAAAGCACTAAAAATACCTGTGATCTATTAGTGAAACGATTGGGTAAAGTTTTATTTTGGTTTTGTTTCTCATTTATTCATTTACTCATTAGCAAAAGGTTCTCAAACACCAACCACCTTTAAGACACTTGTTCTGGAATTACCACATTAGTCATAAGGTTCCAAGGCACCTTTAAAACGTTGGCTCTGATTCTGGACTGATCACTCAGAGTTCTGTTTCTTGAGAACCTCTGTCATTCATACTTACACATATAATCAAAATTACTCTTTCCTAGTCCATTTCCGCATTTCCAGGTATTTTTTGTATTGTTATCCAAGAGTCTTTACAAATGGTTAGAAATGGAGTATCAGGTGGTATTTGGAGGATGTTAGAAGATGTAGGGACCTTGAGCAAATTACTTAACTTCTCTGAGCCTATTTCTTTATCTTTCTAAAATTCATTTATCAATTCAGAGAATCATATTCTTTGTTCCCAGTACCTCTGTATTCTGAGTACAGATAAAATACAGAGCCTCAGCCCTGAGAAATGTAGTGGGACAAATAAATAATTATGGTAAATGTTTTGAATGTTATAATAGAGAGGCAAACCTAGGGTATTAGTTTCCCATAAATTGCTGGTAGCAAACAGCCACTGGTGAAGGAAGGCTTCTGAGTAAATAACATCTAAACTTGGTTTTCAAGGGTGAATAGGACTTAGCCAAAATAGGCAAAGAAGAATATTGAGAGTATATGACCAACAGAGGTAAGAATTTTAAGAAGTAAGCAACTACGCTATCAGATACGACAAAGATACTGAATGAGAGATCTATGAAAATTCCTTTGGATTGATTAATTGATTGATTCATGAGAGAGAGGCAGAGAGAAAAGCAGGCTGCTCGCAGGGAACCTGATGTGGGACTTGATCCCTGGACCCAGGATCACGCCCTGAGCCAAAGGCAGACGCTCAACCACTGAGCCACCGAGGCATCCCGCTTTGGGTTTATAACTAGGATATTGGATAGAATTATTCTGAGAGAACAACTGGATAAATAACAAATACAGAACCTGGAAACTTACACTGTCTGGATATAAATAAGTATTATTTATGGCACATCAAGATTTTGTAGGAATCCTGAGCCAGCTGCTGAGAGAGAAGTCGAGAAATGAATTTGAGGGAGATATTTCCTTCATTAATATATAAATATATAGATAATACATAAATAATACATAGAATTATATCACACTAGCAGTTAGTGAACAGTGTGTCCTATAAGTGTTGATTATTTACCAAAATGTAATCTGGCAAATTTGCCAAAAGAAAAGTCACCATATTGTTGCACATGCTTTAAAAGGTAGTGATTCTGTCCTTGACTGAATTCTTTTCATTATTAATTTCAAGTCCTTTAACAGTTATAATTTTGAGGGGTTTTAACATTGTCTGATGTCTAGTCCATATGTAAATTTTCCTGATTACACCCAAAGAGACTTTATTGCCTGTTTCTAATGCAGTCGGAGATCATTAATTGCATTTGGTTACAGTGTTTTCCCATTTCCGTTCCCCACCCCTTCCTCTCTAACCCCTTTTAGCCGTCTTGACATACTTTTTTGGAAAGTGTGTTTTGGATTTGTCACATTATGTACTTGTGATTAATTTTATTAATCATTTAATTTTTGTGATTAGTTTTATTTGTTTTCTGGTCCCTATACTTTCTGTAAATTAGTATTTCTGAAACTAGGTCCAAAAGTTTGATTCTATTCAAATTACATATTGTCAGCAAGAATACTTTTAGGCAGTCCTTTATACTTCATAATGCATTTCACATCTGAAGGCATGTAATGTCAGATTGTCTCATATTAGAGACACTAAAGTTGGTCACTTGGTTAAGGTGGTGCCCATCAGATCTCTTCATTGTAAAGATAACTCATTTCCCTTTTCAATGAACAGGTGATCCGAGAGGTGATATCTGGGTCCCATATGAATACCCTTTTTCAGGAATGACTTTGCTATTAGGCTTTGGCAGCCACTGATGATCATGACTTGAATCAGTTATTCCGTTACTGGTTACAAATTGGCAATACTCTATCATTCATTCAGCATTTAATAACTGACTTTCTTCTGTAAAGAAAAGCTTTCCCTTAGAGACTAAGGAGCTGTCAGTAAAGGAGAGTAATTTGGATGAAACTATGAGTTCTGCCCACTCATTACTTCCTTGTAATGAGTTGTAAATATGTCTTCAGTTATATTTGGTGTATTTTTTAAAGTATATGTGTATCAGAATGCTTTATTGTAGTTTGAAGTTTCATTGAGTTTGCCAATCTATTCTGCAGGTTAAATGAACTGTTTTGTCATTTTCCTTTTCTGTTTACACGGCAGTAATTAAATGAATCGTGCAAATTTGAGATGTCCTTCCTTGCCCCACATATGCCCTCTATCGTTTTCCCAATCTATTCAACTGTGAACTTGTAAGAGAATGGTGCTGAAAAGGAGGCAAGAGGCCCAACCCCTAATGCTGACAATTAAAAAAACAGGAAAAAAGTTTTAATAGAGTACTAACTAGTTTTTCTAGTGTTGCAGAATGAACTTAATAATAAATAAATGATACTTGGACCCTTGTGTTGTCTCCTAATGCTCCTTGGGTTCTGATGGTGATAAAAGACTGTTGGGTGTGGCAGGGGACTCATTCTGGACCCTGACAGCATCAGTGATGGGTAGCCTGGTGGTCCTGCTTCATCATCTAGGTGCTTGATGCATTGTTCCATACTTGTTTCTGACATATGATTAAACAGTCATTGCACAAATGCTAACAATTTATGTGATATTTGGCTTTTCACCACATTTCCCAAACATAAATGTTGAAATGAAAGTCCTTAAAATATTCTTTGTACTAAAGTTGGTAGGATACTCCTAATATTAACTTTTTACTTAAACTATTTTGTGTGAATTGATTATTCTAATTAATATTATTAACCACCTTTCATGAAAATTCAGAGACAAGGAATTTTTTTAGGTGTTTCCAAACAATTATCTGAATAACTGTTGTTTCTGAAATAGGTTGAGGCATAATGAAAGTTAGAATAGCCATCTGTGTCATAGTAAGTTGGAGAATTGACTTACTATCTTTTAAAAATGTTTAATTATATATATATAAATAAAGGAAGCACAAAATCTTGATCAGAGTTACTAATTACTACTAACAGGGAGAATGTAGCCTCTGGGGTAGGTTCATACAGCTTCCTTAAGTTAAAATGTAGAGCTCTAAAACTAGATCTGTAGCGGTTTAGTTTATAATCCATTGACAGTTGAATAATGCAGGGGGTGTGTATATGAGAAAGACAAATACAGTCACTAAACTACAGCTTTATGCTTTAGGAAACAGTTTGTTGACTTGCATTAGCTTTTTATTTTATGTGTTACAGAGTGCATACATGTACATGTTTGTCAAACTGTTTGTTACAAACTTTTTAGTGTGCTGTCCCTCTGGAATGTCCCAGACCGTAGTGTGCCTAAACCTGCTGTATCCTTTATAGCTTTCAGGTTGGCGTAGAATCTAGAGCTTTTTTGTTCTATCAACTATTTCCACAAAATAATGGATCTTTCTTTTTGTCTCTCCTCTCATTTGTATGACCCTAGAAAGTTACTGGGAAGAATGATGTTTATGAGATAAAATAGCATTGTTAAATTTTAGCAGAAGCTGTGGGTTAGATGGAGCCACTGGAGAAGCATCTCCTTTACACCTGTGGACCTCCCTGAGTGCTTGAACCAAGATAGAGGCAGCACATAAAGCCATTACTGGTCACCTGCTGTCATTTTCTCCTTTTGTCCATTTCTCCTGCCCTCACCTCCTGTTTCTGCTTTTTTCTTGTCCAGGTCTTAGCTTTCCTATTAACACTTAAAGACATTGTTACACACTGGTAGAGGTCTGATAGTTTAATTGTGATTTATACTGCATACTCAAAACTAATAGCCCTCCCTCCGATCCCCCAAACAAATAAACTGATTACACTGCTAGTAACAATTTAGTAAGTCCTTGGCTCATTCTTTCAGGAGAAAGTAGCTGAAATAAATAATTATTACTCAAACAACTTTGAAATATTTCTTTGAATGATCAGTTTATTGTCACAATTTTGTTTTAATTGTAGGTGAAGTTAAAATGAACTATTTGGGCAAACCATATGTAGCCATGGTTACTACATACCAAATGGCAGTTCTTCTTGCCTTTAACAACAGTGAAACTGTCAGCTATAAAGAACTTCAAGACAGCACTCAAATGAATGAAAAGGAACTGACAAAAACAATCAAATCATTACTTGATGTGAAAATGATTAACCATGATTCAGAAAAGGTATGGGGTAATATTTCAAGGAATTCTTTTTTTTAAAGATTGATTTATTTATTCATGAGAGACAGAGAGGCAGAGACATAGACAGAGAGAGAAGCAGGCTCCTCACAGGGAGCCTGATGCGGGACCCAATCCCGGATCCTGGGATAATAACCCTGAGCTGAAGGCAAACGCTCAACCACTGAGCCACCCAGGCATCCCTATTTTGAGGAATTTAAGCATTATAAACATTATAGCTTGAGATGTTTGCAGTTTTTAAAGTAAGATTATAATCAGTAATACCCTTTGTACTTTGGAAAGCACTGGAGTCAGCTAGCAATACTGCTGGCTACTTAGAGCTGTGAGCTTGTGGAATCACAAAGAAGTTGGTGCCTCTGTGCCCTTTATAATTGGCTGGATTCTGGTTAATTGAGGCTAAAAACGAGCATATCCTAAATCTTCCGATTTTTTCCCCATGTGTTTAATTGATATTTAATTATTTAATTACATGGTTCTAATAGAAAATGACTATCGATATTATTTATATGTATATTTAGCTTGTGTGACAATTCTGAATGCTCTCACTCTTCTGTCCCTTCAGTCCAGAACTCAACTAATAACCACCATATATTTGTAGTACAAATATATTCTGTCACAAGAATAGCAAGCCAGGAATATACTACTTATCTTAATAGCTTTTTTTCCCTAGTAACACGTTTTTGTTACTGTTATAGTATATATATATATATATATCCTGGATATTTAAATGATTCAAAAGCAACAGATGTGAGTTAAATCTCCTAATTCAAATTGTGCCTATAAGAAAAAATTCTTATAAATCAGACATCATTTTTATTTTGGCCTACTATTTCTGTCATCACTTCACTTAATTAATGATATATATTTTTAAAGATTTATTTATTTGGGGGGTGGCAGGAGAGGCAGAGGGAGAAGAGAATCCTAAGCAGATTCCCTGCTGAATGTGGAGCCCGACACGGGTCTCAATCTCATAACCCTGAGATCATGACCTGAGCTGAAACCAAGAGTCAGATGCTTAACCAACTATACCCTCCAAGCACCCCTGGTGGATGATATTTTGTAGCCTATAATTAAATAGTTTTAAATGGCATATATTTTGAAATTCAAATCAAGCTTTTCTTAATACTGAGAAATTAATTTTTGATTTCAGAATCTTAACAAAATATTAAATTCTTAATATTAAGATTTTAATTGAGTCAATTAATCATTAAGCATGAATTTTTAAGCTTATAACCTAAAAAGTTTAAGTTTATAAGCTAAATTAAGTACTTAAGACATTATGTATTTTCTAAAATGTATTATTTTTGCTGCCCGGGAATGTACAAAATATAGATGATTGCTTCTTTGCACATTAAATTTTAGCTATGAATCTGCTGTTCCTTAGCAGAACTTCTTAGCTTATTATTGAGAATGAATTCATTTGCCAAGTGTTTTTTGATCTTGCTAATGGAGAAAACACCATGTGTGATCAGAGTGGCTTTCATAAGCTTGATAGTTGTGATTATAAAAATTGACTTAACAACTTTCACTTGAAAAGAGGCCACATGCTTCTGGCAGACAGTAAAACATGAATTCGAGGGTAAACTTCATAAGAACCATACTAGAGCCGTGTATGCCACTGGACACTACTTGTTTCTGTTGTCGGGTTATTTATAATACGTATACGTATTTTCTTATTGTAGCATTTCAAAAGACATTTGGTTGCTCACTTTTTCAAAATACGGTGACAAAAATTATGAGCCTAGTAGTTCATAAGAATTAAAGCGTTAAAAAAAAAGAATTAAAGTGTTAAATTCTGTTTAAGACAATTTGACTCTTTATCCAATGGTTATATATATTAGTTGGGCCATAGCTTATTTCTAAATCTAAACAGATTAAAATTCAAGTATAAAATTAGAAAAGAATTGATATTTGCTTCTTTCTTTATTTTACAGAAGACAGTTGTTTTTCTCTTAAATAATCTTTATAATGTAAAATGATGAGAGTTTAGTCTTGCTTGGTCATTTAATTTTATGATATTTTATTTGCAGCAACTCTTATTTAATTGTTTTAATTTTTATAAATATACATGAATTATTTTCAATTATAGGAAGACATTGATGCAGAATCTTCATTTTCATTAAATATGAACTTTAGCAGTAAAAGAACAAAATTTAAAATTACTACATCGATGCAGAAAGACACACCACAGGTGAGTGATTTTTAATGTCATTTCTTTGGGAAATATTTAAACATTGGACTTCACAAGTGGTAACTGAGATAATGGAAAACTTTGCACATCAAAATTAATAATGTGATGCCTTTTTTTATGATTTATTCTTTGGGCTTACTAAACCTTGCAAACCAAACCTCTGCCAGTATTTTAGATTATAAAAATAATAGATATCTAAGAGTAATGTGTAATATAATAGATATCTAAGGGAAAAGGTATTGCAGTACAGTCATACTTGCTTTTAGACTATATTAAAATGCAGAGCATTGCTTTGCATTCTTCACAGAAATTCCTATTTATTTTTAAAGATGTTATTTATTGGGATCCCTGGGTGGCGCAGCGGTTTGGCGCCTGCCTCTGGCCCAGGGCGCGATCCTGGAGACCCGGGATCGAATCCCACATCGGGCTTCTGGTGCATGGAGCCTGCTTCTCCCTCTGCCTGTGTCTCTGCCTCTCTCTCTCTCTGTGACTATCATAAATAAATAAAAATCAAAAAAAAATTTAAAAAAAAAAAGATGTTATTTATTAACTTGAGAAAGAGAGCACTAGCAGGGGGAGAGGCAGACTCTCCCCAGAGCAGGGAACCCTATGCAGGGCTCAGTCCCAGGACCCTGAGATTATAACCTGAGCCGAAGGCAGATGCTTCACCATCTGAGTCACCCAGTGCCCCCAAAATTCCTACCTTAAGTAGTAATATAATCTCATATTTTTTATTTGTAAAATAAGGGAAAGCTTTATAACATTCTTTCAGAGAAGTTGTTGGAAGTATTTCTCAAAATTTCATGTGCAAATGAACCACTTGGGGTCTTGTTGATACTCAAATTGTAATCTAATAGGTCCAGAGTGGAGTTCAGACTACCAGATGAGCCATTTTGCAAGGTGAACATCTGCTGTTGATTCTTTTAACCCAGTAATGATTAATGCTTTGCTCTGGGATAGCCTATTAAGGTCACTTAAAGTTTCTTGATTGTCTTTGCCCTATCCTTGGGCATGGGGCAGGATATAAAGTTATATAAGATGTTAGGCCCTCTCTAGGAACTTAGAACCCCTTGGGGAGACAGATGTTAGTTAATTGTTAAATTTGAACCCTAAAAAAATTGAACCCTAAAATGTTTGAGATCCCATTTTTCTCTAGACTAATGAATAATAATTTGTAATATGTAGATTGTATTTTATCTTTTATTTTTTAAAATATTTTATTTATTTGAGGGGGGCAGAGGGAGAGTATCTCAAGCAAAAGTCTTGAAAATTCCTGCTGTGTTCTACTTTATTGCCTATTTACATTAAATACATTCTATGATACTGTTAATTTTTTTTAAATAACCTTCCAACTTTAACCCAAGAAATTATAAATAACTCACTGTAGATATTCATTTGGTAATGATTATGTGATAATGATAATGGGCATTTGATAGCTGTATAACTTGAAGCTCGGTATCAAGTGGAAATTTATGTAAACTCAGTGACAAAATGAATTATGAAAGGTTCAATGACTTACTGTGTCATTTGCTTTTTTTTTTCCCCCCTGTGAAACAGGAAATGGAGCAGACTAGAAGTGCTGTAGATGAGGACCGAAAAATGTATCTCCAGGCTGCTATAGTTCGTATCATGAAAGCACGGAAAGTACTTCGGCATAATGCCCTTATTCAAGAGGTAAAAGGAGGGGAAGCCCTGAGGGCTTTTGGGGATAATGGATATTATCAATGAATAGATTAGGAATGTTTCTTTGTCAGAGTGGTACATACATAATAGGATTCCCAAATAGCATAAAGAAATGCTTTATTACTTAATGAGAACAGTACTTAGAATTTCAGTATTCAAGTTTGCTTTGGCTTAGATTTAGAGGTCTAAGGTTCACCAGGATTTTGAGCCTTCTGTCCAGTTATTGAAAGAAATTCACTACTTCAAATATTCATTCCATAAATATCTGAGTGTCTACATGTGATGGAGTGCCTTGATAGTCATTAGGGATGTGATGCAGAACAACCCATGATGTGGATCCTGCCTTTTTGGAATTCACCATCTAATAGAGAAGAAAAACATTATTGAAATAGTATGGAAGCAAAATATAAAATTACATTAACAATGCACTGAAAAAGAGCTACAGTAGTATGAGAATGTACACAAAAATACTGACTTAGAAAAAAAAAAGTACTGACTTAGGGGATGTTGGCAAAGGTGTGTTTTTTTGTTTTTTGTTTTTTTAAGATTTTATTTATTCATGAGAAACAGAGAGAAGGCAGAGGGAGAAATAGGCTCCTTGCAGGGAGCCCAATGTGGGACTCAATCCTGGAATTTGGGATCATGCCTTGAGCCGAAGGCAGACGCTCAACCGCTGAGCCACCCAGGCGTCCCTGGAGAAAGCTTTGAGAAAGTGTTAGTTCAACTAGGCACTGCAGTGTGAAGGTTAAACAGAAGCTGGAGTGTGTGTGATGAATTAATTTATAGTTTATGTATGAATATTATTGGATTTTGCTATATCTGTGTTCTGCTTTGTAATTCCTTCACAACAGAAACATTAGGCTTTTTCCTTATTTTGCATTAAATTTTTTTTGTCATCAACATTGATCTGATTGTTTCCTCTCCTTGGGCACTGTCATGTGAGCTTAAAATTTTAATACTGTTCATGGTGTTCACTTGCTTGATGTATCACATCCGTCCATGTATGATGATTTTATTCATTTTAATGAACGTGATTTCATAACTAAGTATATTTTTCCCATGTGGATTAGGTCTGTTTGATGGAACCTCTATACATTTGGGGCACTTCACAGCTATTGGTTAAAAATAATTATTTATAACTGACTACTTGGCAGTAGTTTGACATCTGTGTCTCTCTTACACAGGTGATTAGCCAGTCAAGAGCTAGGTTTAATCCTAGTATCAGCATGATTAAGAAGTGTATTGAAGTTCTGATAGACAAACAGTACATCGAACGCAGCCAAGCGTCAGCAGATGAATACAGTTATGTAGCGTGATGTCGTTCTCCTCTAGTGTGGGTGTAAGAAGATCATTGCCATCACCATTTGGTGTGTTCCTGTGGGAAAAAGCAGGCCTGTGCCTCCATAATTTGGTCATTTGGCAGCCCCTGTTTTTCTGCTGTTTACAACATCACCAGTGCCACGTCATGAGCGTCCGAGAAAATGCCTAGAGATATTTCAAGCTCATGTCATTATGACATTTCTTAAAACTTTATTAAAAGAATGAGTGAAGTATTGCTGAAATGTGGAAATTTGGTTGGGTACCATGCTTTTTCTCCCCTTCACGTTTGCAGTTGGTGTGTTGTTTTTTTTTTTTTTTTAATGTATCTTAAAGGACATAAAATAAAAAACTTAAATATTGTAATATGACAGATAACCTAATAATTGTATCTACATTAAAATGACAAACATGATATTGCTGCTTGTCAAATAAAAAAAATAAAGAAATAGAATGCCTTTTTTATGTGGATGGAGTATCACACATAATAGTATATATATAAATGTTCATGAGTCATCAAAGCAGCTAATGCAGCTTTAGTTGCATTTTTATCCAAATGGTTTAATTCACTTTTACTCCTACTTAAGTCCTACATGAAAAATGTCTAGATTATTGTTCTTGAATGCATAAAAATGCATTCAACATAAAAATGTTTTATTTTTATGGATTGGAACTACGTTGGATATGAGCATTTTGAATGTTGGGGATTTAATTCTATCAAGGGTTTCTGGTGATATGCTTACACCACAGAAATAAAGGATGAGGAGAATATGTGGTGGCCTCAAGTCTGGCATAGAAAGTTTCTCATTCAAAAGTTGTCTTCTGTTTTCATAATACATTAATTCTAATATAGACAAATACTCCAGCTCTCTAACCTCCCCTTCTACCTTTCTCTGAATTACAGGAGATCCTACAATACCAGTGTATTCCTTCCATTCTCCTACCTACATATTACCCTTACACACCCTAACATTTTAATACTAGATTCACTCTCACAAGTCACAGGTGTGCTTAGCAGTGCATAACCTAAATACCTTTTTTTGTTGTCTGTATTGTGCATTACACCAGGTGCCACTTATATAGAGAAATGAAATTCCACTATTTTGTTTATTTTATATATTAACAGCAGTATTAGAATACTCTGGTCTATTATATTTATTATCTATCTACCTTACCACCACTATAACACACATATATAATTTTTTTAAGCTGGAATATTTTAAAGCCTATCCCTAAAAGCCTAAAAGTGAATCATTTTACTCACAATACTTAAGTTTGTATCTCTGACCGATAAGATGCTTTTTAAAAAACAATAGAAACACAACTATAAAGGCATTATTACATCTAACAAACAATAATTACTTACTATCATCTAATATGTGGTCCACAGTCAAATTTATTGGAGAATGGCTTCTACAGTTTGCACTTTTTCTGACTCATGTCTCTAAGTATTGAAAAAAATCTACTGAACTTCTAATGACTTACTTATATACTGTATTTCTCATTTTATCTTTCTTCCTAGGGAGGAAGTAATGGCAAACCATGTAATATTGTACATTCACTGTCAAAAAACAAACCTTTGTTTTGATAGCTTGTTGATAAAATTTCCAAATTGATTACTTTTTTCTTAAATATTTATAAATGTTAAATTAAGCCTTATCTTGGTGTCTAAATTGTCAGGAAAATATATTATCTTGAAAAATGGACAAAATACTTGTGCCGAGGTATACAGAAATGACTGAAAAGAGTTTTCTTCGTATCTTTTTCTCATTTTACCTGAAAAGAAATAATTAAAGATATGTTTATGCATGAGGAAGAAGAGGCCAGACACAACATCCAAAAGGAAGCAGTGAAAAAAAAAAAAAAAAAAAACAAAAACAAAAGGAAGCAGTGTTTTGAATGAATGCTAGCATACACCTTCAGTTGAGGAGAATGAAGGAAGGTTGTGGTCTGGTAGAGTTAGGTCAGGCAGTTGAAGTTCTTATGGCAGAAGACCCTAGCACACAGAGTCCAGAGCACTAAACTGGCAGCTGCTGCGTACGATACCTAGTATCATGGGCAGAGAGGGTCAGAGCTACAAAAGGGAAAGAAGAGGAAGGAGAGGGAATGGTTCTCTGCTTAATCTTGGAAAACAAAAATAATGTGAGCCAAACTTTCAGAAGCTTTTAAAAAATTATTACTACTGAGATAGTTAACATGTATGAGTCACTGATATCTTTTTCAGCCAGAGAGCATGCAGCTTTTATTCACACTCTGTCCCCTTTGAAACCAGATTATTTAAATTGCTGCTATAGGTTTATTCTAGGGATTTAGTCCAAGATTTTATGACCATTGGCTTTAATATAAACAAAAGAAGATATACTTTGGGGTTTGTGTTTTTGCTTTATTTATAAATTACTACCTTTATAGGATTTTGTAACTTGTATATGCTACAATGCTATAAAATTTCTGTTAATTTATTTAACTTTTACTGAGTACAGACTGTGACTGGTGCTTCCTCATATGTTATTTTGTTTGATCTTCAGATAATCCTGTTAACCAGGCAATGCTCTTCTCTCCTAGATGAGGAAACTAAATGAAGAGTTTTCCAGGAGTCATTGCCAGAAACTACAGAACCTGAATTTAAATCCCAGTCAAAATTGTGGACCTAATAAATATAGTCTCTATCTATCTATCTATCTATCTATCTATCTATCTATCTATCTATGCATATAAGATAGAAGTAACTTCATTTTATACATAAAGAATAGTTTTTCCTGATTTCTCAAAATAAAAATTTGTTTCTAGGTGATTTGTGAGAATAAGCACTTCATATTTTAGTTTCTTAAGGTACTTAATTAAGATGTATATATGGTTAAACAACTTGGCTTGTAGCTGATTCATGGCAAAGGATACTTGTAAATTTAATATTTTACATTCACATGTACAGCTATAGAGCATTTATTTCAAATATATATACTTAATGCAAACCTGTGTTCAGTTAAAATTTTTCCAGTTATATAGTAGCAATTATAGTAGGCTAATGTATTGAGCTCTTAACTTTGGTTCCTAGTACACATTCTTGGTTGAGCAAGGTCAAAGTAAAGATGTGAACTTTTAAAGTACTAATCCTAAGGGCAATTGTACATAGACTCTAGCTAGCTAAATGAGTAGAAGTAATATGGAGAGGCCACTGGTTGAAGTCCATGAAGCATATCTAAAGCTGAAGCAATTAAATTAGACAATTCTTACTGTGAGACATAAAACACCATGAGCTAGAATTCATTAAAGGTAGGATTCACTGATGGGGAGAAGTCCTTTTCATATGTAGTAACTATACTATACAGGAAAGTCTAAGGACTTTTCCTTATCCTGCTCTCCATTTGCTCAGTCAATTCACCTTTCATCATCTAACGGACATTTACTGGTGCCCCAGAGTATTATGTGGCTACAGTCATTGCAATGACAAGCAAAAAAGATATATGGCCTGTGCCAACATGGAACTTTTAGACTTGTAACATCAGTCATAAATATACCATTTCAGAGGTAAGTGCTTGTGAGGGAAAACCCTAGATACCCTGAGGAGAGCTGCATGAGAGAAGTTAAAAGGGCAGAAAATGAAAGCAGGGGAGCATATTCTAAACAGTAACAGCCAAGATCCTGAAGTAAGAAGTGGCAGCCAGAACCTAAGAATCAAAATACCTCTATGGCTGAAGTAGTGGATTTTATGCAGAGGAGTTAGATTTGGGGGGAAAAAAAAGTGGGGCAGTAGGTGCATGAATATTCATTTTCTTATGCTTTATATATAGTGTGCATATTTATACTTTTTCTTTGCTGTTTACAAACTATTTCAAAATACTGTTTGCAGATATCAGTGGAAAATGGATAACCTGCACTAATGTGAAGAATAGACTCTAGAGGGCTGATGATGGATAGCGTGGAAACTTAGGAGACCATGGTGAGGTGAGCAGTTGCGGTGGTGGCAGTGGCCATCTCCAGAGTGATAAAGTAGATAACGCTGACACGACATAATAATGGGTTGGGATAGGGTGAATGAGGAAAGGGAGGAGTCAAAGACGGCATGTAGATTATGGCTTTCACAACTAATGCCATTCAGTGAGTTAGAGGAACCCTGGAAGAGGGTGCAGATGGAGGAGGGACATAATGAGCTTGGTTATATATAATACCTTGCATCTGATGTGCTTTTGAGATGGCTGAATGGAGCAAGCAGTTGGTTTTACAGGTCTGAAACTCCTGCGTAGAGGCTCCCATCCTGAATCCTAGAAACTCTTCCCTAGAGGCTTTTTGATCCTTTCTCATTTCCTTGACTCTTGCCATGAATTAACAGTGTCCACATTAAATGTGATTAGAGATAAATATTTATAACACAAGATAACAAATATAAATATAACAAATATAAATATTTATAATACAAGAACATATTAACATATATTTTGAATAAAAAGAACGAATGAAAAAGGATGAGAGTATTTAGTAGTTAATACCCGCTCTAGGATGTCTTTCTATACTTTGGTGGGTGGTCTTTTTATACCATTTTTGAGTCAAGAACACATTTGTAGAAGTAGAATAATTGAGCCAAAAGTTAATCTGCCATATTATTTCTTACATTCACAAATCTTTGCCAGCTACTGGTTACACACTGCCTTTGAAGGAGAAATAGATCAATGTTTTGCATTCTGACAACCGTAAGGCTACCATTTTTTAGCAAAAAGAAGGAACCTTTAGGAACCAACTTGTGGAAAAGAACTTGGGCATAAAAGGAAGGATTTTTCCATTTTTGTTTATTATTGTTTTCTTTTTCTTCATTGTTAGTAGCTTACTATTTATAATTCTAGTAGTTGAGGAATTACAGCTTATGGTGAAGTTAGCAGTCCTGGTAGCAGGTAAAGTTAGTGGGTTGATCAGATTCATTATTTTCCTTGGAAGAACTTTGGTGTTGTAGGAAAAAGATGAAAACCTTTTGGTTTTTCTCAACTAGCTCATGAGACTACCCCTAGCACAGCACTCAGTCATCTGCTGAGAGCTTCGACTTCTTACAGTGGGTGGGTTTTACCTATTAGTTTGTCTCTTAAGGAAGAAAGGACAGACATAATAAGCAAAGATCTGCTTTTAGTAGAAATAAACTGGCTTAGCATAAATTGTACCTAATATTTGGCCCAAGGAGGCCACTGATGGCAGCAGAAGTACTCTGGAATTAAGGAAACAGTGAATGTTGAATAGAAAAAACAAAAAAGCTGTTTTGGCGTTTTAATTTATATAGTGCTAAAGCGACGAAATTCAAATCTGTGCTATGAAGTAAATATCTGAGATACCTTGTTTAGTTTGTATATTTTAAAATAACCATCTTTACATGTTGACAGCCAAGATGAAGATCTCCAGCCACTTTGGTAAATTGGAAATTTATGGTATAAGAAATCAGGAAGGTGCATGCTCTCTCTACTTGTAAATTATGTGCTTGACCCTGGTTGGGACCACCCTGTTCATTGCTCCACAAAACAGGGAAGAGTGGCATTCGAGTAAGGAAGAGGTGTACATAGCCTAACACCCCAGCTTTTTTGTGCTTTCACTGGCATTGACCCATGTCTGAACAGAGGGAGCTAGTTTGCATTCCATAGGAAATTGTCCCTTTATTAGGAGGTCAACCCCTAGCTCTGTCAGGCTCATTGCTGGCCCAGTAATTTAAATACAATCTGATTAGATTCAGAAATTCTGAGACCAGGGGGAAGAGCTGCAGGCCACTAATCTGGGATTCTCTGAAGCAGAGATAAAAG